GCCACCACCTCCTGTGGCAGTGAATTCCATGTGTTAATCACTCTTTGGGTGAAGAAGTACTTCCTTTTATCTGTTCTAACCCGACCGCTCAGCAATTTCATTGAGTGCCCACGAGTTCTTGTATTGTGAGAAAGGGAGAAAAGTACTCTGTTTCTTTTGGTCTGCTGCTGTACAGCTCTTATAGGCCTGCTTGGCCAACAACTTCTTCCACCATCGGCATCCCTCTTTCAGATTTGGTCATCTTGGCTCTAATTAGCTCCTCCTGGTCTAAGCATCACATAAACTAAGCAAAGAGAGTGCAGGCTGACTTGTGATACACTCTGACAGCACAAATCTCATGTGCTTGGCCCGAGTGGTATTACCCAGGATTGCTGTGGATTCCGAGCAAATGTGAACTGGTTAGCTGCAAACAGCTGAAAAGGGGGAAATAGCAATCAGGCCAAGAGGAACTTTACCTGTTATGAAATAGGACCCAGCAGGTGGAAATGTGAGCACTATTGTGTGACCTGCAGCTCTAATCCCTTCGCGACTAGGAATTGCAACTCCTTCAACCATGCTACTTGCTCTAGGCAAGCACATGAATCGCTGCCAATATTAAGTTACCAGGGTATTAAGACTGAGGTGGAGAATATAATGCAAAGCATTACCCAGAAAACAGATACAAAAAAGGTCTCTCAAAATCAATTTCGAAACTCCAGTTGGTGCAGAACGCCATGGCTCAGCTATTACCGGGAGCTAGACAGAGCACACAATTCTACAGTCACTCCACTGACTGCCAACAGTTACCCTTCATGGCCTTGAACCCTCATATCTGTGAGACCATCTCTCTCCCATGCACCACAATGACAGCTTGACTCATCTGAGTAAGGTCTTCCAAGTGGGCAAAATCAACAACTGCCTGTAGGTATGCCTTCTCGACTGTGGTTCCCACCTTATGGAATGGTCTGCCTGAGAAAGTGAGAAAAACTCCCAACTCTCCTGGCTTTCTGCATACTATTCAAAACTGAATTATTCAAGAGGACCTTTCTATGCAGGCAACAGAATTGCACTGTCGACTATAATAACAGTCCGTGTAATCCGCCTCCAATCCCAGTGAGAAAAGCATACTATAAATAACTCCATCTTTCACTCAATTCCATCTCATAATTAGTAAAATGGAATACAGAGGTACAAAAATCACAGCACCTTGCAAACATCTTGAGGAGACTGTTTTCATCAAGGGCAGAGCTGTTGCCATCTGCTGTGCCTTGAAAATTAATACGTTGATGGCAAGTAGTAATTGTGAAAGCTGGTTGTCTTTTGTGTGTGCGTGAGAGATCTTTTTTGTACATTGTAAGCCGCTCTAGGTCCACACTGTGCCAAGAAAAACAGTTTACGTACTCTAATAAATAATAATCCTTAAATGTTTTCTTTCAAGGTCTTCCAAGCCTTTTGATGCACACGTTTTTGATACTGCCTCCCCCGCTATGCTTCACTGCAAGTTAAAACCAGCTTGAAGGACCACCTCAGTTATACTACCTGCGAACCAAGCCAGTAGATTAATACAAATACTATTTATTTCATGTTTGGGAATTTAAAGTTCTTCATATACATCATTGTGAGGCAAAGCACTCCTGGACCCAGGCCCGTAGCCTCCTAGGAGCCCATGGGGCAATGCCCCTTCCCTGCCGTCATTTGTGGATGCTCCGGGCAGCCCCTGAGAGCAGCCACCGCTACTGTGCTGCTGCTCCCTGGAGAGCCAAAAGGCACCCTCCTCCAGCCAGGTGCATGGCCCCCCGCCACCTGCAAGCAGAGCCTGCCTGCTCACAGGGCACCCGCCAGAGATGGGGTGGGGAGGCGCTTGGCATTCTCAGCACCTGGTTGCCCCAACCGTGACAACTGTCTCCAAAGGGGCCTTCCTGCACCCATCTGGGAAGGTGCCACAATCCCATTGCGGGAAGAACTCCTGTGCAAGAGACCCTTTCTTCCCACGGATCTTGCACAGGGGAACATCTTCTCCTCCTTGCTCCCGACCTGTGCCAAGAGCTGCTTCCCAGTTCTGGCCCACAAGCTTGACCCTTGCCTCAGAGCTGCTCCAGCTTGCATGAGCCCTCCCCAGAGCCTCTGCAGCAGCCCTCCCCTCCCCACCACACCCCCCTTCCTCCACCATGTGTGTGCTTCATCCTTTTTTCTTCCTTGCTCCTCCTCCATCCAGTGCCCCCCCCCCCAAATTGTCTAGCTAGGAAACTGCCTGCACCCCCCCAATGGTTAATGTGAATGGATATGGGCCTGTTCCATCCTGCAGGTGTTACTAATTGGTCTCTCAGCCTACACAGCCTTTATAATCTTCAAGCCTAAAGTGGGAAATGTGGTAATTGCCTTTTCATGAGAACCTGCAGCCCACAGGATGGGAGGGGGGAAATCAGGAGTGATGAGGTAATTTTCTACAGTGTTCCAGCAAGAATGCGTCCTAATTGGGTGTCACCATCACCTGATGCTGATTGGCCAAAAATCTATATCTGAGCTAAGAGCCTGGACTATGATATGCTTATATTGCAATAGATAGCAACACAGAGAACACATGAGCTATGGCCTTTAACTCTCAGGCATAAGGTTTGTGCCATATAACGCAAGTTCTGAAAATCTGTTAGACAGTTAAGCTAGTTTTCTTGCCGTATAACTCTAGAGCATTGTGTTGCCTATATATAAAATATTTTGTTTGGATATAAATTAAATAAAACATCATTTTGATTTTAGGGTTACTTAACTCATACACTGGAGTTAGCGAGAAATCCCATTAGATAGAGCTCTAAATAGAGCATGCCTAGTCCAGGCTAGCCTGATCTTGTCAGATCTCAGAAGCTAAGCAGGGTCAGCCCTAGCTAGCATTTGTATGGGAGACCACCAAGGACTACCAGGGTCATGATGCAAAGGCAGGCAATGAAAACCACCTCTGAACGTCTCTTGCCTTGAAAACACTATGAGGTCACCATAAGTCAATTGTGAATTGAGGGCAACAACAACGTTTCAAATGTACTGCTGAGCCAATTCTACACATTAGATTCTGTCATCCTTCTAGTTTCAAAGATCAACAAGTAACAAGGAGAGAGGAGAAAGAAATAGAATCCACATTTGGTGTTATGGTGGCTACAGAGAGGGGAGCAGCAGCAGCTGTGGAGTAACAGATTAGGTACTCCTCCATAAAGGATTACTGCAGGACTAATAGACCAAGCATGATCCTCTGGAGAAGGAAATGGCAACCCACTCCAGTATTTTTGCCAAGCAAACCCCATGGACAGTATCAAAAGGCTAAAAGATATGTCACCGGAAGATGAGCCCCTCAGGTCGGAAGGTGTCCAATATGCTACTGGGGAAGAGCAGAGGGCAAGTACAAGTAACCCCAGAAAGAGTGAAGCGGCTGGGCCAAAGCCGAAAGGACGCTCAGTTGTGGATGTGTCTGATGGTGAAAGGAAAGTCCGATGCTGCAAAGAACAATACTACATAAGAACCTGGAATGTAAGAACTATGAATCAAGGTAAGCTTGACGTGGTCAAAAATGAGATGGCAAGACTGAACATCATCTTAGGAATCAGTGAACTAAAGTGGACAGGAATGGGCGAATTTAACTCAGAAGACCATTATATCTACTACTGTGGCCAGGAATCTCCCAGAAAAAATGGTGTGGCCTTTATAGTCAACAAGAGAGTGCAAAAGTCAGTACTGGGATACAATCTCAAAAATGACAGAAGTAGTTAGTCAAAAGGTAACCGGAATAACAGACAAGTTTGGCCTTGGAAAGCAAAATGAAGCAGGGCAAAGATTAACAGAGTTTTGTCAAGAGAACACACTGGTCATAGCGAACACCCTTTCCAAAAAACCTAAGAGGCGACTCTACACATGGACATCACCAGATGGGCAACACCGAAATCAGACTGACTATAGAATTTGCAGTCAAAGATGGAGAAGCTCTATCCAGTCACATACAGAGAGATATTTGATAGTGACAGTGCATTTAAAGGAGGAACATACATTTGGGCCATTCTCTCCTCCCCGATCCTGCAGCTTTGACAGACACAAAGCTCTCAGCAATTCCAAAAGAAGATACACTGCAAATTATTTAGTATTCTGGAATGTTAGCTTCTTGTGACTTCCTGCAAAGTTGAAGAGATTAAGTTATCATATTAGGGGGAAATAGTTTTTCTCCAAATACCAAAATACTTACTTTAGTGATAGTCTTTAAAATGGCAAGGCGATCTAAAGGTGGTGGCAAACCTACATAGAGTGTTTTATCCAACCTTCCTGGTCGTAAAATAGCTGGATCTATAATATCTGAAGGAGAAACAAAAAGAGAATATTAGACATTGAAAGAACATAAGAACATAGGAGACACCAATGTTGGATCAGGCCAAAGGCCCATCCAGTCCAACACTCTGTGTCACACAGTGGCCAGAAATACCAGTGCCATCAGGAGGTCCACCAGTAGGGCCAGGACATTAGAAGCCCTCCCACTGTTGACCCCCCCCTAGCACCAAGAACACAGAGCATCACTTGCCCCAGAGCCCCTATCTATACTTGTGGCTAATAGCCAAACCCTTTTATCATTCGAGTTGCTCTTTTCTGCACTTTTTCCAAAGCTATAATATCCTTTTTAAGGTGTGGTGACCAGAATTGCACACAGTATTCCAGATGAGGTCGCACCATTGATTTATATAGCGGCATTATGATATTGGCTGATCTGTTTACAATACCCTTCCTAATAATCCCCAGCATAGCATTTGCCTTCTTTATTGCAGTCACACACTGTCTTGACATTTTCAGTGAGTTATCTACTACAACTCCAAGATCTCTCTCTTGATCTGTCTCTGCCAGTTCAGACCCCATCAATGTGTATTTATATTTAGGATTTTTGGCTCCAATGTGCATCACCTTGCACTTGGCCACATTGAACCCCATTTGCCATGTTGACGCCCACTTGCCCATCTTTGACAGATCCCTTTGGAGTGCCTCACAATCCTCACTGGTTTTCACCACCCTGAACAACTTCGTATCATCCGCAAATTTAGCCACTTCACTGCTTACTCCCAACTCCAAATCATTAATGAACAAGTTAAAAAGCAGTGGACCAAGTACAGATCCCTGCGGTACCCCACTGCTTACGTCCCTCCACTGAGGGAACTGCCCATTTATACTCACTCTCTGTTTTCTATTAATTAGCCAGTTTTTGATCCATAAAAGGACTTGTCCTTTTATCCCATGATTTTTGAGCTTACTTAGGACCCTTTGATGAGGAACTTTATCAAAAGCTTTCTGGAAGTCAAGGTAAACAATATCTATTGGATCCCCCTTGTCCACATGTTTGTTTACCCCCTCAAAAGAACTCCCATGTAGCATATCAGTGGACGTTTTGGAGGGCAGAGCTTTGCATTTTCAGAAGAAACCACCTCACCTCTGGTAAGTAAGAGGGATGCCACAGCTCATTAGGACTGCTTACTCCCCTATGAGCCTCCCTGATCCACTTTGATGGGCATTAGAAGCCCTTCTCTGTGTCCTTTTGTCTCTGGAGCTTAAGTGCAAGAGCACTAGAGCCTGTCCCATTGAGGTATCCAGACTGTGGAATTTCTTCCCCACAGATATTATTTTCCCAGTTGGGTGTGTAGTTAAAAATCACATATATGCTGCAGCTTTTATTTACATTCTGCATTTGGTGAAAAACAGGCACTCACATAATAATAATAATAATAATAATAATAATAATAATAATAATAATAATAATAATAATAATAATAATAATAATAATAATAATAATAATAATAATAATAATAATAATAATAATAATAATAATAATAATAATAATAATAATAATAATAATAATAATAATAATAATAATAATAATAATAATAATAATAATAATAATAATAATAATAATAATAATATACTTTATTGTCATTGTACATAGTACAATGAAATTAAAGATGTATGATCATGTATGATCATTAAGATTAGCCCGGATTTGCTCCCATTAATAAATGATCCTTACCTGGCCTGTTGGTGGCTGCCATAATGAAAACCTGACGACGGGATTCCAGGCCATCCATCTCTGTTAGCAACTGATTTACCACACGGACACTGGCACCTGTCTGTAAGAGTTCAGCAAAATAATAATGCAAGGCGAGAAAGAATGCAGTACGGCACCTGCTGAATGCTGAGCCTGTTGATGAAGCTGCTATTTGTCTGTTTTCATGCCTCATGACCCTCCTCCGCCAGCAAGGAGAGAAAGAAGAGGTGTGACTCCATTCTTGCCACCTGAACCAAAATGGCAAGACACCCTCCTGGCACTCACCCTACTAAAAACTTCAGTGGCCTATGGCTGCTGGTTTTGTGGTGTAATTGTAATTATTACGATATCTGTTTAGTAGTTATCTCTATTTTTTCCTATACGTACATGTGAACAGGGTATGTTTCCACTTTAAAAGAGCAGTATCATTCTTAGTAATACTACTCTGGTTTAGTCTTGTTCTTAGAGTAGATATTAGCCTGGTTTAAGGTTATTAATGTAACAGTCTTAATTAATAGTTAAGTTAAACTTAAAGCAAGTGGTTTAATAAAAACAAAAGTGAGAGGAATGCTGAAAGGGGAAAAATGTAGTCCCCAGCAACTGCCTCCCTTAGAGTCTCTTTCATCCTTTTATTTAGGTTAAGTACAAGATATTTTCCTAAATGAATTTCAAAACATGAAGAACAAATCTTTACAAAAATAGAATAGTCATCAAAAGTTAATAACAAAATGAAAAAGAACTGAAGAAATTTTGAAAGTACTGACTAAAACTAAAGCGGTAAAGGGGAAAAATGATGAACTAGAAAAGAAAATTGAGTTATTAGACAAAAAGAACAATGATCAAGACATTGTGGTTAACATAACAATAGAGGATTTAGGACTTCTGGTGATCGGACAGCGAGGAGCCTCCTGCTCAAGATCCGATCTGCAAGCATATTTTACTTGATTTTATCTGATTTTAAACTGTTTTATTTGGTCTTTTAGTAGTTACAAGTGGAGACCCGCAAGAAACTTGCGGGATGGTTATCCTATTCCTCACGCCTTTGCTTCCTCCTGTCTCCCCCTACCTCACTCACACTCTTTTCTCCCTTCTGCCCCCCCTTCTTTCTCTCTCTCCTCCATGTATGGTTTGGAGGTTGGAGTCTATGGCATTATACTGGTCTGTAGTTTCTCCCCTCCTCAAATCCCACCCTTTCCAGGCTCCACCCCTCAAATGTCCAGGAATTTGCCAACCTGAAGTTGGCAACACAATTTCCTTCCCACCCAACAGCCAACCTACCTTTATCTGCCTCTCTGTCTTCAACTTTCCATCTCCACACTCCTCCCCCACAGCCTCTACCTAGGAAAGTTACAGTCTTTCTCCACAGTGGGGACCAAAGCAGCTTACATTATTCTCTCCTTTTTATCTGCACAACAACCCTGTGAGGTTGGCTAGGCTGAAAGTATGTGACTGGTCCAAAATCACACAGTCAGCTTCCACTGCAAGATGGGGATCTGAACCTGGGTCTCGCAGACCCTACTCTGAAGCTCTGACTGTTACATCACACTGGCTTTCATAGGGTGGCTGCTGATGAACCGTAGCAAGCAGCTGGGCCTACTTGAATCATGCAAATCAGGTGGTATCAAGTCACCCAGAGGGTGCTGCCGAGGGATGCCAGCCTCCAGGTGGGACCTGGGGATGCCAGGAATTACTGCTCATCTCCAGACTACAGAGATAACTTCCCATGGAGAAAATGGATGTTTTGGAGGGTGGACTCTGTGACATTGTACTCCACTGAGCCCCCTGTCCTCCCCAGGCTCCACCCGCAAATCTCCAGGAGGTTCCCAGCCTGGACCTGGCAACCTTATCCACAATCCCCTGTCGGTGGCCGGGGGGGTTGCCAACGTCTAAGTGGGGCCTAGAGGACCCCCCCTCCCAGAATTACAACTGAACTCAAGACAGCAGAGATCTGTCTCCCTGGAGGAAATGGCTGCTTTGGAGGGTGGACTCTGTGGCATTATACCCAGCTGAGGCCTCTCCCTTCCCAAACCCAGCCCTCCACAAAATATCTAGAAATCCCCCAGCCTGGCAGTGGCAACTCTTGTGAGGCCTGGCCCCACGGCTCCCTTCCTCCCTCCCTCCTTGAAAGGCCAAAAGAGGCCAGGAAAGGGTCCTTCCCCCACCCTTTGACTCACAGAGCCAGTTAGAAGCCCTCCTCCCCCGCCCTGAACATTCTAATCTCTCTCTCACTGTTGATGCCTGAAGTTAGATCCCTGCAGAGGCCATTTCAAATGGTTTTGGGGGGAATTCAGCTGTCCCTGGAGGGATTTTTTAACTTCTTGGATTTTTCTGCAGACACAGGAAGTATACTGACTATGTAGGAAAAGGTTTTGGGGCAGAGTGAGCTTCCTCTAAGTAGAAATAAGCATCCGCACACGGCGCCCTCTGTTGGAAATTAGATATATAGATTAATCTTTTCTGGCCTTGCAGGCTGTTGATCTTTTAAAATGTGTTTTTCCTGGTTTTATCAGCCACAGAGTGTTTTGTTCCAGCTGGGCTCGGCTGCTCAGCTGCTTTTGTGGAAATTGTCTAGTGCCTAGTTTGGTCTTACTGGTTTGATGTTTGTCTTTACTCTTTTTAAAGTTCTGTTGATTTGGTCCTCAGCCTAGTTTTAATTTTTGCCGGTTAGATGAGGATGTAACTGCTAGTGGCTTTGTTTTTAAATCTTGTTAATTAGGCTAATTAAGATGTGTCATAATTTAGCTTGTTAGCCCATTTTAATCCTTTGTTTCTCTTGGCATTTCCGAATAATTTATTTTGCCAGTCTAAGGCTGGCCTTGGTTAAATTAGATAGCTCAGCTTGTTTTTAATCTGCTGCTTGCGGGTGATTTCCATAAATAAATAAAAAGTGACTCAATGTAGGAGTTTTTAACCTTAAAATAAATAAACTGAACAACAACAACAACACTGTCTGTACATGGTCTTCAAAAGGGTTCTCTGCAGTCCCCTTTGGGCACCCACCAGTACTTCCCCTTGTGCCCAGTAAACTGTCAGAAAGTGGGCAAGATCACTGTAAGGCAGGGCTTGGTTGTTTGCTGCCTCCATTCAAATGGAAGGGTTTTCCACAGCTACAACAGCAGTCACTGGAGGATCAGGAAGTCTGGTAAGTACCTGGGCTTCTGGTTCCATTCACCCTTCAGGCTTTCCTTGTTTTTATCCCCTAATCTCCTTCCTCCTGCCCCTTTGGACTTCCCTTTATTTCTTTTTATTCTCCTCTTTTTTGTGAAACAAGCTTTTATGAAATTTTTACAGGAAAAAAACTTCTAAAAACAGCAGCTCCTCCTAAAAATAAAAGGCTTATTAGTATGGGAAGCCAGAGAAAATTTTAAATGACCCGTCTCTTGCTAACAGAGTATCACCAAGAATTTTGTCATCCAGAGTAGAGCCAATTCTGGCTCTGATAGGCCAATGATATAAGGCTGCTTCATGTGCTCATCATGGAATAAAATGGGGCACACGGGGGTCGAGAACGACTGCATGGAGTTTGTGCTCTGACCAACTATTCCCATGAACTTCTTTTGCACAGCAGAGAAGAATCTGGGCTGCTGCATGAGGGGAGATAATTGTTCAGGAGTAGAAGCCTATCCCTCCTTCTCCAGGCTTGCTTGTCTTCCCAGCAGCAGGACCATGCTTCCATTCAAAGTACAGACTTTGACAGGCCAATGGTCAAAGCCTGAATAAGGCAACTTCTTGTTCAGCATAGCTGCCATGCCATTCTTTCACAAAGTAAGGAGGGAGGTATTGCATTTAGCTCTGCCTCCTCTGGCAGCCAAAATTCCAAAGATTCCTGCAGGCTCAAAAGGATTTGAGACCCCTGGCCTGCAAGGTCAGGTTTCAAAAGGTAGTACAGTTCCTGCCCTTGGAAAGAGGGAGAAATTAATTCTGTCTGTTTCCACTAAGATGCAAAGCACCTGCCCCATCACAGAAAATAGAAGGCTCTTTATGTTAGTCAGGCAGCATGAGAACTTGTCCTATGTCCTTACAAAGGATTCCCAGATCCTTTTGAGTACCTTGATAGACCCCTGAGGGATCACTGGACCCCAGTTTGAGAAATGCTGGAAATATATCCTACGGACACAAAGGAGTGACATGGAATAGTGTGTAGCACAGGATAGTTTCTCATGGATATGTGTTTAGGCTCACCTCATGGTCTGATCTCCGAGGACACAAGGCATCAACTTCATCAAAGAATATAACGCAAGGAGCAGAATTCCTTGCACGCTGGAAAACCTGACGTACAGCACGCTCACTTTCCCCCACATACTGAAACAAGGAAGAAAAAGTCAACAGTAAAAGTCCACGAAACACCGCTATTTCAACAGATCTTTAGATCAGGATCTACCATTAAGCTTCACTGACTTCAATGGCAGAAAGTTAAACACTTATTGCCCTTCCTATTGAAACTTACTGGAGTTCAAAGGGTTTCGCTTTAGCTGAATTGTGTCCAAAGTAATAATTAATTGGGGGGGGGAGTTCCTTCCAATAAATCCCTACATTAGTAAACAAATGGAAATAACCAGTTCTTTTTCTGTAAAGAAAGAATGAACGAAAGGTGCTGATATTCATGATGGAGGCCTACAGAGAAGGCAACACAGCAGCTGATATATTCTGTCACAGCTGATGATATCTGCCCTGCTACCCTCTCTGCAGTCCCACTTACTGCCTTCTCTACTGGCCTCTTTGCAAAGGGGCCATCCATCCAGAGGTTCTGGTATGCTGCACTGTTCTGTAAAGGCACCAAAAAAGCCCTGGAAATCACTCAGTCAAGAGTACATACCTCCCAGAATTTTCTAGTTTGTTTTATTCAGAATTGGGCTCGTACTGAATTATTAAATTCCCATTTGTCATTTCCATTTCACACAAGTCTGGTCTATTGATGTTTTTCAGAAAGTGTCTATATGAAATGTAAATTTATTTGTGCATTATCCACTTTGAATTGACCCCTAAAACTTTTATATACCCCCAAACCCAGACTGGCAAACCAGTGCTACAACCAAAACTCACCATATTCAGCAGTTCAGGACCTTTCACAGAAATGAAATTTAGCCCAGATTCATTTGCCACAGCCTACAAGAAAGATAAGAACCTGTTTCATTCATATACTAGTCCTCTATCACCTGAAAATCTATTTAATTATAACATTCTCACACATTCTTGAACACAAACAGAAGAGATACCTGATTTTCCAGTTGGATCGCTACTTATAAGTAGTAATTTGTTTATAAATAACTAGGAATAAGGCTTGTTGTGGAAATAAATACAACGAGCTCTAGAAAGAGGCTCTGGGAGAGTGCCAAGGCCTTGGGCACTCAGCGTCAATTTGCTGTGGCGACCTCCTCAAACCCCACCCTCTCTAGGCTCCACCCCTGAAATCCCCAGGAATTTCCCAACCTGGAGTTGGCAACCGCATCCCCTTCCCAGCTAACCATCAACCTACTGTTACCTGCCCCTCTGACTGCAGCTGACGTCTGCCCTCCCTCTTGGGGATCAGTTGTAGTTCTGAGTGCTCTCTACCCCTCACTGGGAGATTGGCAACAATGGTTCCCCAGAAGGGAATGGGTGGTTGGGAGGGTGGAGTCTATGGCATCGTACCGATCTGAGGTCCCACCTCTCCTCAAACCTCACTCTCTCCAGGTTCAATCCCTCAAATCTCCAGTAATTTCCCACCTGGAGTTAGCAACCCTATCTCCTTTCCAGCCAAGCATCAACCTACCTTTATTTCCCCCTCACCCTTCAGCTTTCCATCCCCCCCACCTGCAGCCTCTACTGTGCTCTGAAGCCCTGACTGCCACGTCACATTGGCTATCATGGGGGGGGGGGATCTCAGCAGGGTATAAGGACACAGAGTCCACCATTTTCTCCAGGGGAACTGATCTCCGCCATCTGGAGAGCAGTTGTAATTCTGAGTGATCTCCAGCCCTCACCTGGAGATTGGCAACAATGGTTTCCCAGGGGGGAAAGTAGTCTTTCTCTGCAATGGGTACCAAAGCAGCTTACATCGTTCTCCTCTCCCCCTTTTGACTTGCACAACAACCCTGTGAGGTAGGTTAGGCTTAAAGTCTGTGACTGGTCCAAAATCTCCCCCTCAGCTTCTACAGCAAGAACCTGGATCTAGCAGACCCTGCTCTGAAGCACTGACTGCTACGCTTAGGGTAGCCAACCTCCAGATGGAGCCTGAAGATCACCAGGTATCACAACTGAACCCCAGAAAACAGATCCCCCCCCCCCCGAGAAAATGTGCTTTAGAAGGTGGGCTTTATGGCATTCTGTTCAGCTGAGGCCTCTCCCCTCCCCAAACCATAGCTTCCATAGACTACTAGAAAATCTCCAGAAATCTCCCTACTTGGAGCTGCCAACTGTAGTTAGGACTGGCCCCAATGAGTTCCTCACAAAGGCCTGCAAAGGGTTTCCTTCCTTTGTCTGAACCAAGCTTGGTTGCCTACTGTGGTGAAAGGGACTCCAGTTTACAACTCAGCTGATCGCCTCCCACCCTCGTCCCGTGGGCGTATCTCACTCCTTAAGTTCGCTGCCACCACTCACTGAATTGTCACTGCCTTTTTAGAGGGACAGTGAGACCTCTCTGGCTGAATCTCCCTACTTGGAGACGGAATCCCCAATCTTTGGGGATCCCTGGAAAGTTGGCAACCCAAGAGTCTGGCCTTTCCTTATTTCCTTGGGCTACCCCCTCCCTTTGTTATTGTGCAGAGCGGGGGAGATGGTCACAGCACAACACAGATTAGTAGCCCAAATAAAAGAATTTATTTAACTATTTACACAATTACGGAGAACACACACACTAAATGAATAAGGCACAACTGTAGGAGTAAGCACACACTATGAACCAACAGGGCATAAATCAACAAAGGTTAAATGCAATCCTCTTTCCCTACGCACAATACTCTCTACCTCTGGAGGTTGTGGGCTCAGGATAGGATCTCTCCTTGGACCGTGAGTACTCTTGAGTGGCTGCTGACAGGCCAATGGCTGAGGGAGTGCATTGCACAGCCAATGGGAGAGCTGCAAAGTGCCACCCCAAAACACAATAATTATATATATAGATAAGGGTGGTGGCTTAGCAGAGTACATGCTTTACATGCAGCAAGTCATATGAAGCCACTTTATACTGAATCAGACCCTTGGTTCATCAAGGTCAGTATTGTCTACTCAGACTGGTGACGGCTCTCCATGGTCTTAGGAGGAAGTCTTTCCCATCACCTCCTGCATGGTCCTTAACTGGAGATGCCAGGAATTGAACCTAGGACCTTCTGTATGCCAAGCAGCTGTTCTACAGCAGAAGCCAAGGCCCCTCCCCTAAGGAAAGTTCCTAAGAAAGTTCCAGTCTATGGTATCACCAATTGGAAAGATCTCAGCTGGGAAGACTGTACCGCTGCTTGAAGATTCCGGAAAGCTACTGCCAGCAAGAGTAAGTACTACTCAGCTAGATGGGTCTGACACATTACAAGGCAGCTTAGCTTTTTAAAATGCAGTGTCTTACATTTCAAGCTCCATGCTGAAAAAATAAATTGTTTTAGGATCTGCATGTGCTTCCATTTTATGGCCACGCAGACACAGCTGGCTAAAACTGTCAGGCATCACAAATGTGCTTTATTTTTTTAACTCTACCTTCCCCACCAGTGTTCCCTCAAAGTTGAGTTAGTGTGAGCTAGCTCACAATTTTTTAGCCTCCAGGTCACACATTTTTGTCTTAGCTCAGGAAGGATGGCTCCAGAGCTAACTGATTTATGCAGTAGCCAAATTGATCGCTCACAACTCTAATGCCAGTAGCTCACAAAGATAATTTTTGCTCACCAGACTCCACAGCTTGGAGGGAGCATTGTTCCCCACCTACTCTCCCAATATCTAGCACAAAGATAAGTCCTGTACAACTCATAAGTTTGCGCCTTGCAATTTCATTAGTCACACAGAAAAAGAAACACAATGCAAAATTATTTCCTCTTCAACTGAAAACAATTTACAGAATAGAAACACTGTGCCACCCCAATTGTTTTATGTCTACAGCACAGTAGATGTTGGAAAGATGAGACATATGCTCAAAATCAATACACTCCTAGTACAACCAAGCTGTAACTCAGCAATCATTGGTTTAGTTTTCTTGCTACACCCCACCACATACAGAGATCCTGTGTAGTGAATTACCTTTGCAAGTAGTGTTTTGCCACAACCGGGAGGCCCAGCAAGTAGCACACCGGCTGGTGCTGTCAGGCCCAAGGCTTTGAATTGCTCAGGATTCCGCACAGGCGCCTGTAACAGAATCAGTTACTAGCTAAAAGTTTTGTATGTAAAAATATGGTAAAGATGAAGAATTATGAACTGATCAAAGTAAGTTGCCCTCAACTAAAAAGAAGAAGAGATCCTGATTCAGCTGTTAAATGGAAATAAAACACAATTCTGGCTGTAGCACTCACTGCATTCAGAGGCACATGACAAACACTAAAAGTAAAGGAAAGACTCAAGACTTAAAAGGGAGGCCATAATGATTCTCAAGGGAAAGATCACATGAAAGCAAAAAACTAGGGGCGTGCATTTGGCATAAACCGAGCCAAAAAATTGGAATTTTGGGGGTATCATATGGCTCAGCCCCCAAAAAGCAGATTTTATTCGGTTTTTATTCGGGTTCATTAAGCTATGGTGAAACTGAGCTGCCAGCCATTTAAACCTAACAACTGACAGGTGGAACTGCAGGTCTGCTGTTCTTTTTAAATTATTCCCCTTTACTTCCAGCCATTAAACTGGTCAGTTTCAGGGTTGGCAAGCATTTCAGCCTAACAGTGGGACAGCAGGCCTGCTCGCTGTCAGGCTGAACTGGCAGGGAGCCATTTCACTCCTTCCTTTCACTGCCCCCCCCGCTTAAAAGTAGAGGCAGTGAAACAGAGGGGTTAAATGCCTGGAAGGCATTTCAACCTGACAGCAGGCTAGCCCACTGGCTTTGCTGTTCAACAGAAATGCCTTCCAGCCATTAAACTGGTCAGTTTCACTCCCCTCCACTTGGAAGCAGAGGGGAGTGAAACTGACCAGTTTTGTGGCTGGAAGGAAAGGGAAGGTATGTTTAAATGCCTTCTTGGTGTTTCTTTCCTTCCCCAGTCCCCCTGCTATGGCAGGGAGGCTGGGGAAGGAAAGGGGAGGCATTTAAACATGCCTTCTTGCTCTTCCTTCCCTCCCCATGGGTATAGTAGACCTGAATTCCTTCAGAAATACCAACTATTTCCCGAGTCTGAATACTATATGAGTATCGGTACTTGGGAAATTTGGTATCTACCAATATTTTTAGGGGCTGCTATTCCCAGATCTCAAAAATAATGATTTTTTTTTCTTGCATGCTTCTACAAAAAACTTTGGAGAAGCCCACCCCTGCCATTCTCCCACTGGGACTCAACACACTCAACCAACATGAGAAGAGCAGCCAACAAGTACAGCTGCATGTGGGGTACCAGATGACTGGCCATGAGGCCAGAAGAACATGACTACCACAGAGATGGCAGGAAAGGAGAAGGCTAGGACCCCTGGAGGCCTGAGCGGGTCTCCTGATTTCATGGTGGTGTGAATAGCTGTAAAATGCCATTTGTCAAGCTAGCCAAGGAAGGAGGGAGCTTCAGAGAAAAGCCTTGGAAGCAGTGGCTTTTCTGAGAGAGCAGTGTAAAGTAACATTTCCTCCCACTGAAGTGTTTGCCTTTGGAAGTCACTCCTGAAGCCAAAGGGGTCTTCAATCTCTCCCAATGAGGTGGGCCTCTAAAAGGGCTCTTCCTAGGGTTCTATAAAAAAATGTATACTTCTACATACTAAGGAAGGAAAAGGAAACTGTATGACAAGCTAGTGGTCCATGCTATATGAGGTGTATGTGTGCTGGTGGAATGATTCTGCTAGAGTAACCTCAGTCTTTCTGCTCCAACTGAAACAAACAGAAAAACTGGCTTGTGAGAACATGCACCCCACCGGAATCTGCCTTGTTGTGAACAGCAGTTGCAGAAAGTGTTGAAAGATACAGGGCTCCAAACTGGTAATCAGTTCAAAGATAAATCTAGATTCAGAGGGTAGCCATGTTGGTTTGCAGTAGAACAGTTAGACTGGAGTTAAGTAACACCTTAGAAACCAACAAGAGTTTCAGGGTATAAGCTTTCAGAGAAAGGAAAAGGTCTCCCTTGCTCGAAAGCCAGTCGAATCCGACTCTAGGGTTGCGGTGCTCATCTCCGTTTCAAAGCCGAAGAGCCAGCGCTGTCCGAAGACGTTTCCGTGGTCATGTGGCCGGCATGACTAAACACCGAGGCGCACGGAACGTTGTTACCTTCCCACTGAAGTGGTATCTATTTATCTACTTGCCATTTCTTGCTTTCAAACTGCTAGGTTGGCAGGAGCTGGGGCCAGAGACGGGAGCTCACGCCGTCATGCGGCACACTCGGGTCTCGAACTGCTGAACTACCGACCTTCCACAGCCTGCAGTTCAGCGTCTTAACCACTTGAGCCACCGCAGCTCCAAGCTTTCAGATACAGTAGACAAATTTGTGGCCCTTAAGTACTGGAGCTCATGTCTCAAATATATAGAAACTTTTAGACAAAGCTTCTGGTTTGTGTGTTTTTAAAACAAAACCCTTCCAAAAACTAGGCAACAAGTCACCAGAGTATGAGAAAAAGGATGATGATAACATCACACACGCATCTATCGAGAACATTGACCGTCACGGTAACAGGCTAATTTGTAAAGAATCTTGCATGCTCCGTCCTGTTTTCCATACATACAGTTAATCTTGCTCTGGTTATCATTGTTACACTGAAACAACCTCATACACTTTAATATGCAATAGTTCTTATGTAACAAAATTGCCCCACAAATCCCAGGTAGTGTATTTTATCTTAATCTTTAACACACATAATGGTATCTCAGTCCCCAATGCCAGAGTAGCTTGGTCTTTCCCATGTTTGCAGAAGTTAAATTAGAAGTATTCATATTCATAATAAATCATTTGTAACTATGCTATAGAAGTAATGCTGGCTCCTGCCACCCATGGTTTGTAAATCAGAAGACAACCTTGAAGACGCAGGCTCCTACCCCTTTACTCTTTTGTTCTGGTTTTAAATTAATCATGATTTAGAGTCAGATATATCCCAATACCAACACTGACTGCCACGAGCCAGATTCCCTCATAACCATGATTTGCAAGCCAACTTCGAACTATGGCTTCAAATTCTGGTTCAGAAGGGAATTGTTCCTAGGATTGCTTCACATGTGATTCTTAACTAGGGCTAACACTGGAAGGGGAAGGGAACTGAGAATTCACTGTGAATGGGGGGGGGGGGAAGCATGCAACCATGAGGCTGGCTCCCAAGCTACAAATCACGGGTTGCATGTTATCAATGTTATTTTCAGCATCAGATCTATGGAGACAGGGATTCAATTTGTGTATTAAATCAGAACTCAAGACAAAAGAATCTTAGAGATTCTTTCCCAGAGGTTCCTTTGCTTTCCCCACCACTTGTAATTGCTCCTCATGGCACTGGTTTTCTGTGACAGCTTTCTAATTATTGCACAGAATCAGTTACCTAGAAATATATGCACCGTCGCCTTTTATGTGCTACTTTTTTTTTTAACTATACCCTGGTATTTCTCAAGTTACATGCAGGCTTGACCAAAAGAAGGCCTTTGGCTAATTCACTATAAAGCTACGATTCAGTTGATATGCCTCCATTTCAAAGGGGAAATTACTGAAACATTTCAATTTGCTGCACATTTCATGGACTAAATTACCAAGGAGTGCTGCTTATTTCTTTTCACAAAATGTCATGCAAACAGCACATAATGATGCCTTGTGTATACATTTCCCTTGCTGTACAGTTGACAAAAGATATCCAAGCCTTGCATGCCTCAGCAGGATTTTGTAAAAAAATGTCCACCCCTACCAGTATTGCCATGGTGAGCTCCTCCCGAATATCCTCCAGGGCTCCGATATCTGCCCACGTCACATCAGGGACTGTGACAAAGCCTTCTCTCTTGGCAGAGGGCTGCACAGAAGACAGCGCAACAATGAAATCATTCATCTCAATGCAGAGTTTTTGCAGCTGAGCCTCCCCCAGGGGGTCTGGATTCTTTAGCAACCAAAGCAGTCTTTTCAATTCATCCTAAAGTCAACAGACAAGAGATGGGAGGGAGACAACAGAGGAAATGGTCAGGTAAAAGGAAAAAAAAAGTTTGACATGTGGATCAACAGTACTGGAAGACAGGAGTCCAAGGACAATGTCCCAGATATGATCCACAGCAACTTGGAACTGGTTTTGGATGACAGAGACTTGAGCAGTGTCAAATACTGATGTGCGTCTCTTGAACTGCCCTCCTAGTCAATTTTTGGCTTTGTCTGCTCAGATTCCCAATGTGCCTTTTCAAAGGCAGAAAGATGCAATATTTAAAGAAGCCATTTATCCCCTTGCATTTGATTCTGTCTTGCAGCAAGGGTATTTCAGACATTCACTTCAGATTCACTTCTGCATGGCCCTTTCAAGTCAGTTTTCTTTTTCTTTCTTTTTTTTTAAAAAAGTGTTTTTTCTTGCTGCACCACTGCTCACACTTTTGTTCTACTAATTCTTGCTACGGAATGTAATATGCATCCTGATTTATTATCACCATCAATTATCTTCTTCACTCCCAAGAAGCAGGATGGGCAAGTAGGAGCTTAAAGCAACAGAAATGCATGGTAGAGATGGGCTTGAGCTTAAACATTTCATTTCCTTATAAATGCACCCCTCCAAAGGAACAAGGCCCTCATTTTGTCTATTTACTCCAACAGTCATGATTTAGGATTACTTCAAACTCCTACTTAAGTTCTATTTCAGCACTAAGAAATCATAAGGGCAGAGTGCTTCAGCTTGCACTATTCTCAGCCAGTCTTATTACTCAGGAGGATCACTGTAGGCTTTGCACCCTGCGCACCAATGCAGTATTCCTGGGAAAATGCAACTTCCGTTGGAGATAAGAGAAATATTTAGAAGTGCCAAACCCATTAGATTCAACCCATTAGATGCTCCTTCCATTTCAGAGTGTTTCATCAAGGCTGAACCTGTCCAAAAGGCACCATCAGTTTACACTTTAGACACAGGAACTAAGATTCAGAAACAGGTTAGGTAAGATCTCTAGATGAAGTGGGAAAATCTTTAGATGGAATCTCATTCAGAAAATCATCTACTTTCAAACATTTGTCTTTATTTGGGATAAATCTGGAAACTGGGAGAAAAATTAAGGCGGCGTCTCTAAAGGAGATTTGGGGATGGCCATTCCCAGCATCCTCAAAAGACAGAAACTATGAGGCTGGCCAACTCTGCAGGAATAAAATAATTTAGGAGTGGCACAAGGAAATTTTACATCCTTAATTTGACCAAAGAGCACTGTATGCTAATTAAGAGCTTTTGTGTGCTAATTAAGAGCTTCTGTGTGCTTACAGTCTCTGAAAAAACATCATAGTTCTTCAGCAATCCTGCAGAATGGGAGGTAAGCACTGAAATTTTAACTACCCCTTAAGTGCTAACAGCCACTGGTACAATGCCACTAGCCACCCAGTGAAATGATGTTGCACGACGAGAGTGAAAGAATCAGGAGCTCTCTACATCAGTTGCCTACAGATAGCATTGAACTAAAACGCCAAGAGTAAACAGCCACCTCAAACTGATCATCAATAAGAGTACTAGGTGAATTAATATAATGCATATTAGTATTAAAACTTTAGCAGGAAAATCCCACCTGAAATTCTCAGCAGAGCATTGCTTACGGTGACTGAAAAAAAGATCTGGAATCTTTGAACAAAGTCTCCATATTAGCAAATGAAGCCTTGACTGCAGAAAGTTTTTTAACTCACATCCACTGTTGATGTTAAATTGAAATAGAAACAAACACCATTTAAAAAACAAAGAATTCCTCCATTCCCCCTCCCCCAAGGAGGGTATGCCACTACCAATATTTATGTTTTCAAAACAGTCCGGATGGAATTAGAAGGCCTGCAGTAATGCCACAGAAATGACTGATGATCTCTCCCATAAACAAGGAATAACTATACACAAATAATGAGATATAGAGTCCTGCCTCCCTTTGAGCAACTACGTAGCTATGACGGGTGGAGAGAAACAGCCTAAACTCAAATACCAACACTGCTGTCATGAGATTGTATCTAGATGAATAATTAGTTGCCTGCTCAACTCAACCCTCCTGTTTTGGTAACTGAAAAATCTGCAGATACAGTTGGCTAAAGACCATGAGTTGGCATATGGATAGTGTGTTGCCATAGTTCTGCAGCTTAAACATTATAAACCTTTCTTGCTCTGTGGGACCAACACATCTAAGACAAGTCTGAAGATTTGGGGCACAGTCCATGAGAAATAATCCTGCAGAAACACTACTGAAATGAATGGGAGCTAGGCAACCATAGTGCTCTTGCACAGTTCCTTTAAATTTCAGAGAGATTTACAGAAGTAGTCTGCTTGGTGGTTTTATTTCAATGGGGCTTGTGCTGTCTTAATATGACAACCCTATTATTATTATTATTATTATTATTATTATTAATTATTCTTAATTAAATTTCTGAATTGCCCCATCCCTGAGTACACAGAGCTCTGAGTGATTTACGATCAAAACATACAAAGATACAGTTTAAAATCAACAAATCAATTCATTCCGAATTTCACAATCTTCAGTCTATAATTTAATCTAAGTGTATTTAATTTATAATTTAATCTAAAACCTGCTCTGGGCTGTTCTTCTGTCTCATAAACAGGTTAAGGAGGAGTCTGAAGCAGTAAAGGTGGAAGAAAGAGGAGGGTGCCAACTATGATGTAAACCACTGATGTCTTCAACCGAAAGCCTGGCGGAACATCTCTGCCTTATATTTCTGTCATATATGCTGCACAGAGAGCCAGTAGTGGCAGATTACTTAACACATCAGAAGAAGCGGTAGATTGCTGGACTAGGAGCAGGGAGGCCCAGGATCAAATCCTGTTTGACAATTATCGGATAGCCTAACCTGCCTCATGGGGTTGCTGTGAGGATTACACAGATGGACCAAAAATCATGCACAATACCATGAGCTCCTTGAAGGAACAGTGGGATAAAAATGCATCACACAAACAGACATAACATGCATACTGAAACCAATGAGGTAAGTAGCATAAATCAAGAAATCCAGTACCAATTATGAAAAATTACTCTACGGAAGTAAAAAAACACACACATGCCTTCTTATGAATCTTCCCAGTATCTTCTAAAGCAGCTTTGTATAAAATTAGAACTGATTGTGCTAGAGCAGGTCCCAGGCCTGACCCAGCTAAAGGATCTCAAGTAGAAGGTGTTGGGAAAGACTTCGCTTGGCCTGTGACCCCCCAGAGAACCATTACCACTCCATACAGACAGCACTGAGATAGATGTGCCAATGACCTGATTTAGTATAAGGCAATATGATTTGGCTCTGATTTGAGCGTAAACATTTCCAGTCATATATACACACACTGTAAAACATGGAGACTTACAGTGTACAAGACACAAAGAACTACATACTTTAGTGGGAAGCTCTGGCATTTCAGTCTCTTCCTTTACAAGCCCATCTAGTTTCTTCTCTATGGCTTGTCCAGGTGCTTTTTCTTCACTACTCAGGGCTTCAGATTCTTCCTCTTCCAATTTAACAAGGACCCCATTCACAGCGGACATCGCTGCTTCACGGCAAAGTGCCATGAGATCAGCACCAACATAGCCTGGAGTCATACGAGCCAAGTGATGGAAGTCAAACGATTCTGGGAGTCTAAGCTTCCGACACAACGTCTTCAAAATTCTGTTGAACAGAAAATGGTAGAAGCAGCAGCTGTAATTTTAAGGGATCATATTATGTTTATGTGCCAATATGAGAAGCTGATTTTAACCTTTAAAGTCCTAAAGTCCAGAATACTCCAAAACAACCTTATACTAGCAAGTGAACCCACCTACATATTAAAATCTTCTTCAGAAGCCCTCCTTGTGAACTCTCACATCACAGTGGTGCTGAGACTATGAAACACTAGCCTTGCTGCTAGTGTTTAGGTGCTAGGTTATTATGAACATGTTCTTTAGGATGCCTTTTGTGGTCCTCAAATTTATTTGCTGCCACTTTTTGCTTTTTGTGCTGACCTGTGTTCCTATGTGCTTGCTTATTTTGCTGAGCAGCTATGCCATGGTTTTGGCTTTGCTGTATTTTGGTATGTTTTTAGTTGGTGTAATCTGTAATCTACTTTGGCTGTTAGACACCTTCCACACATCAAACTGGAGAGTGGGTATAAATAAATATTTAGCCTCCATTAATTCCTTCCCCACTGTTTACATATTTAACCCATCTTCTCAAAGCTTTTGAAAAATGGCTGCATAGGATTGAATACTAAACTACAATTCAGAGAGTATCAACCAGAAGACTAGCATGCCAAGACAATTTCTGCCAAATATAAGGAATGGTCATGACTCCATAGCCAATTTTGCAGATGTACACACCAATGCACAGGAACAGGATTTTAGGGAACTCAACAGAGGGCTGTTAGTATCTCAGCAGGCAATGATTTTGATATTTATGTATTGCTATTCATGCCTTTATATATATGATATTTTAAATTAAATCATTAAGACAAACTTTGTGGGTCCACAATTTAAGCAGAGACAATTGAACAATTCTAAAGTAAATTAATAAAAATATTCTCAATTTTATTTAAAAATGCTTGGCCAAGACAATAATTTATTATATAAAGGTAAGGGTTTCCTTTGCTCGAAAGCTAGTCGAATCTGGCTCTAGGGGGCGGTGCTCATCTCCGTTTCCAAGCCAAAGAGCCAGCACTGTCCGAAGACGTTTCCATGGCATAGAGAAGGATAAATGATCTTTCATTTGCATAAGTAAACCAAGCAAGGAGGGAAAATCTGGAAGCATGTATTTCATCAAATTGATCCCAGCCAAATATCCCAATAATTGGTTAGATCCAAAGATGACCTTGCTGTTCACCGCATAGGAGTACTTCCATCGTGGTATATAGTTTGGATCCAGCCCTATGACTTTTCCCCTTGCCATATGCAAAATGCTATGTCCATGATTCCAGACATCAAACTGCAATACTAACAAAATCAAACATCCGTTGGAAACCTGATGCAGTCAGGGATTACTCTGCTAATTCTATGGCTCACACAGTACTATTTTATGTCCTCTGGTTTTAATTTTTCTACTGTGACATTTCCTGTTCTACTGCTTCTACCCTTTGTGACTTCTTCTCATGCTGCTCTGGAAATATCTTATCTTGTAGTCATCCAGGATGGGGGGGATAACGTGATACCTAAACACAAAGGATTGGATTCTAAGGCTCACACAGTCACTAGTTTCCTACTGATTCCTTACTCTCCTGCAGGAACCCTTGGGAACCCCATTTGGATGGAAAGGCAGCACAGAAATGTTTTAAATAAAAACCCTACACTCTTTCTGAGGATCCACCAACCCCCTGGAGCAGGATTTTAGGGAGCACAGACAGGAAGGAAGAGGTAGGAAAGGTCCATTACATCAGCACTGCTTAGAAAGAGATCTTAGGGTACGTAACACAGGTGTCACGTTACCCTTGTGGCCAGCAGAGTTAGGATGTAAAGAGGAACTTACAGTTGAATATGCACACTTACATCATGCTGCCTAAAGTTCTACCATGTCGGTTATCATAGGAGAGCAAAAAAAGTATGGATAAATAAATAAATCCATGAGAAAATATGACATGGAAGAGTCTTAAGCTTTCAAATACAGATAGCAAACCCTTTTATTCAGTCAGTATTATTCGCCAATATTTATCTACTAATTGTTTCAAGTATGGTTGTCAAAGCTGGCCATCAAGAGAACTCCTGTACCTTTACAGTCTATAACTTGGACAGTGACTCTGCCTGTCAAATGCCAAAGAGAAGTACCATTCATCTCTTAGCATCTCTTAAAGCAAAATTTCAAACAAGGTTGATGTACTTTTCTCTGGCAGTTTCATCTGGAATGCCCAAGCAAATTTCACGATCAAATCTTCCTGCACGTCTCAGGGCTGGGTCCAGTGAGTCTGGTCGGTTGGTTGCTCCAATGACTAGAACCTGAGCTGTGGAAGCCAGATTATTCAAGTCTGAGGAAAAGCAGGAAGAAACAGAAAACTGTTAGGCAACCCATGAAGGAGACTGTGCTTTGCTATCAGGACATCATTGTTTTCCATCCACCTGGGGCAGAGTACACACTCTCAGAGGTCAGGCTTGAGCAATATTTAATCTTACATTGTATGCAGCCCTCTTTTAACTGAGTTACAGTCAACACCAACAATACTGAGCTAGGCCAGATATTTACAATAAACTTGGTGATACTGAATCTCCTTAAATCACCATGTGCCCATGTCTACTCCAAATGCAGTCAACAGAATAGGATTATTACCATCTAATAATGTTTAGCATTATTATTCACAAGTGGGAACCTGCAAGCAGTTGAGGGAGGCATCATTTCCCCCTCCCCTTATTTTCCTCTTTTCCTTCCATGAAAGCCCCCTTTCCTGCTTCCTTCTCTTTCCCATTCAACTGCCAACCTACCTTTATCTGCCCTCCCTTCAATTCCCCCCATGCTGCCTCTACCTAGAAAAACTATGGCCCAGTTTTGCAGTGCCAGCCACTGGGCCAGGCCCACTTACATGGTAGGGAGTCTTCAAGGACTTGTGGGGGGCACCTCATGTTCCCCTTATCCCCCCCCTCCCCACATTATTTCCCCTTTCACTTCTTACACATCCTCTCCCTATTCTCTGTCTCATTCTTTATTTCTCAGCCATTCACCAACCTACCTGTTATCTGCTACTCATTATCAGCTATATTTATTATTTATTTACTTCATTTATCTTCCACCTTTCTCCACAGTGGGACCAAAGCACCTTACATTATTCTCCTCTCCTCCTTTTTATCCTCACAACAGCCCTGAGAGGTAGGTTAGGCTGAAAGTATGCGACTGGCCCAAAATCACCCAGGGATCTTCCACAGAAAGATGGGAATTAGAACCTGGGTCTCCCAGACCCTACTCTGAAGCTCAAACTGCTACATCACACAGGCTTTCATAGGGTAGCTGCTGTTGAACAACAGCAAGCAGCTAGGCCTAGTTGAGTCATGTAGATCAGGCGGTATCAAGTCACCCAGTGGTTGGTGCCAGGCCCAGAGTGCCAGTCTTGAGATGCAGCCTGGAGATCTCCTGGAACTACAACTGATGTCCAGATGACAGAGATCTGTCTCCCTGAAGAAAATGACTGTTTTGGAGTGTAAACTCTATGGCATTATATCTGGCTGAGGCCCCACCCCTCCCCAGACTCCACCCCAAAATCTCCAGGGATTTCCCAACCTGGAGCTGGCTACCCTAGTCAGGCCTATCCCCAATGAGCTTACCCTCAAAGGCCAAAACAGCCCTGGAAGGACCTGCCCTCTCCCCCTGCCTTTTTACCCACAGAAACCCAGCCTGGAAAGCTGTGGTCACCTAGCAACAGCCACTGAGGCCTTCTGTTTCTTACATACAGGTTCTCCTTTTATTATTTGGTTTTTTTAAAAAACCTCCCAAGTATTGTTTTTTCCGGTTTTCTGCAAACCTAGGGCATTGTTTAAGTTTGTAGAAAGATCAGTCTTGCCCACACACAGCTCCATTCACTGGATTTAAGTATCCTCATATTTGGCTGACTTCACTATTAGTATACAGATGAGTGGGCCCCCCGCAAAACTCACAGAGGGACCACCTCCCCTCCCCATCACCATCAGGGTGACTCACCCTGGAGCCTGGCAGCAGTGTCTGGGATCTGCTCCTGGCATCCACTGTGGTCAGGCCTGGAGAAACTCCTGGTGTCTGCTGTGGCTGGGGTCTGCCACAGCTGCTGTCAGGCTCCAGGGCTCTGCCCCTGACCCCTCTCCAGTTTCCCAACTATAAGTTTATTTAATTTGGGGAGAATTTAAAACCTTCAATGAATTTTTTTTTAGCTTTTCAGATTTTTCTGCAAACCTAGGGGTCCCCCAACTTTGCCGAAAAATCTGTTTGGGGAAAGCGTGGTCTCGATTTGCAGATTTAGCTATCCACAGATGGGAGCTATACTTGGGAAACATATATCGGTATGCATTATCTCAGTAATCCTTATATTTTAAGTTCAGACTCCATAGAAGGAGGGCTAAGAGTTGCTTGCCCAAGGCCACTTAAGTGAGTTCATCGATGTGTGACATGTGAACCAGGGACTTGCAATGTGGTCCTATGCAGAATTACTCCAGTCTGAAAGGTCAGAGTGGAGTAACTGCATAGGATTGCACTGTTAATGTACATTCCTAAAAAGACTTACTTCTTTCGAAGCACACAATTGACTCAGATGGCTGTAACTCTGTTTAGGATTGCTTCTGATCACTACAGAGCTATCATCATCAGCTCAGATTTCATCAGTTTCTTCAGATATAGTGAAACAAAACTTTTTCAACCATTACATATAAGTGGGGGGTTAGTTGCCAGGAAGGACTAGTTAAAGATGCATAAGTAACTGGGCGATTCTAGCTGATCATAGTCTTAATCCAACCTCAGCTATAATCACACAGTTACTTATGCATCTTGACTCTAAGTAGCCCTTCGTGCAACTTACCCCCCCAACTATATGTAATGGTTGAAGTTTTGTTTCACTGTATCTGAAGAAGAGTGTATGCATACGAATAAAACTTTGTTGGTCTTAAAGGTGCCACTGGACTCAAACTTTGTTCCCATTCTTATCTACTGTCACAAAGCCATAAATAAATCAATTGCACTGAAACAGCAAAATCCTACCTCCTAAATGTCTGTTCTTCTAAAACAAAATATTTCAATAAAATAGCAGTGATTTCGCCTATCATAAAAAAATTACCAACACCACATCTTTATGCCCAAAACTTAAAAAAAAAAAATCTAATCCTAAATACAATGTTCTGCTGTTATTTTATGTAATTTCCTTTATATTCCAGAATGCACCTGATTACAAAAAGTGTGAATTTTAAGCTATGAATTATAATTCTGTGTCACTTAATTAATTAATTAATTATTATCTTAGGTTTATAGCCCTCCCTCCCCTGCAAAGCAGGCTCAGGGCAGGCAACATCAGGTACTGACAACAATATTAAAGCAATAATAAATTAAGCATTAAAACCCAATTTAAAACAACAGTAAATAAATACAATATGCATCTAGTCAATCAGATGGCAGCACACAGTTTGGCGCAACTAGGTGCACTGTCTTCTTGAAGAGGACATAAAAACATAAGAACATAAGAGACGCCAATGTTGGATCAGGCCAAATTCCCATCCAGTCCAACACTCTGTCACACAGTGAAAGCCCAGGTGCAATCAGGAGGTCCACCAGTGGGGCCAGAACCTCCCACTGTTGACCCCACCAAGCACCAAGAAGACAGAGCATCACTTGCCCCAGAGTCCCTATCTATACCTTGTGGCTAATAGCCACTGATGGACCTCTGCTCCATATGCTTATCTAATTCCCTTTTGAAGCCGTCCATGCTTGTAGCATGCACTTCAGGACTGTACTTCAGGTGTGTCCGTGGAAGTGGTGAGGTACTATAGTGGATGAACCGCCAAGGAGAGCAACAAAGTAGCCAGCATAAGAAGGATTACAGTGTGTAAGGAATACAAAGTAACAACAAAGGCACTGTAATTAGACACTAAATAAAATAAAATTATATTAAACTAATTTATATTTTGTGCAAGTATTTTTATATGCTAAAGTGTACAAAAATATACAAATATAATTTTTAAAAATAATTACAATATGAATCAACATGGAAAGAAGAATCAACATGGAAAGAAAATCACACAATGATCCTGTGTATAAATTCACTCGTTTCATTAAACTTCTTCAGTTAACTGAAAAATTGTACAAATTCCATTAATTAAACCATATAAATAT